AACAGAAGTTTCCATGGTAAGGTCATTTTAAGTTAAATATAAGAAGAAAAGCTCCTTATAAACCCAGTTGTGGTGTAACAGCTTGCCACATCCTGTTGCAGTGGCATCTGATGGGTTTAGTAACAGAAACTTTTCTTTTTCAGAGCTCTGCCAGGTAGTGTGATCACATGACAAACCTGCCTTTCTTAATTCTTACATTAGGATTTTTTAAAATGCATGATGTCAGTGGAAAAGTGAGCATGACAATGGAAACTATCAGCCTGAGCAATTTTAAAACTGAAGAGCATCTTGGGAAACTGTGGGTGTAATTGGCAAGTTCAGCAAAAGCGTATCTTTTAAAAGATATGTGAACTGTTGTTCTAGGCAGGGCTTTGCTCCTTTGCAGGAATATTCTAGTCTAAGGCTGTGATCTGATGTACTTTTATGTGGGGGTAAGCCCCAGTGAACTAGGTGGGACTTGCATCTCAGAAGACATGCTTAGGATTACACCATTACATATTGTGCATTGGAGCTACCAACTTAAATAGCAGCTTAGCCGCAAACTGGCTGTGCAATTTTGAGCAATCCAACTCTTTCCCTCCAAGGGCCAAAACAGACCTCAGTTTATATCCATATCTAGCATCTACGTCATTTTTCCTGTAGAACAGGTGCAGGGGTGCAGTCTGGATCAGGATGCCAGCAGTGCAGTCAGAGAGCTTTTAAGATCTGGACTGGGTCCCTGTATCACTGCTAGATATGGATTTAGAGTAGTATCTGATTTGACCCTCAGTTATTCCACCTATAAAATGAGTGCTGGGCTAGGAATTTATTTATAGTGCGATTTATATCCTGCCTTTTTCCTACAAAGGGCTCAAGGCAGCTTACATCTTCTCTCCTCTTCCATCTTATCCCCACAACAACAACCCTGTGAGGTAGGCTGGGCTGAGAAGCTGTGACTGGCCCAAAGTCACCCAGTTGGCTCCATGGCCGAGCGGGGACTCGAACCCGGATCCTCTGAGTCCCAGTCCCGTGCTCTTAACCACTACGCCACACTGGAATATATTTGCAAAAAGAAGGGCTGAAGCTTAGTGGTAGAGAACATGCTGTGTATAGACAAGATTCTCCACGTAAAGCAGGAAATCTCCTGCATGCAGCCCCAGAAAACTACTAGCCATTACTATCAACAATACTGGGGTAGATGGATAAGGTAGTTCCCAAGGTTCTTGTATCTGTGTTCCTAGCTATGCTGATCTAATTATTATTTGTAAAGGCCAGTGAGACTGTTTTTGGAAGAGGACAGAGGTGCCTTTAAAATGTTTTTATATTATGCAAGGATCCTTGCATCCAGACCTTTTGGAACCCGGTGCCTAAGCTTACTCAGGAAATAAAATTCAACAATAAATTTAAGCTTTAGTTCATGTGCCTTTTTGCACTGAGATATATAATAGCCATTAGCTCGTGACTGACTCACATTTTACTTTCCAGAAATATAATAGTTCATAAGAGAGCATAACACATTTAGCTGTACAAAATGTGATTTTAGAAAAGTTGAAAAATGTAGGTGAAATATAGCCAATTGAGCTAATTTTACTTGTTCGTTTTAAAAGTGACTAAGCCTGCCATGCTATATACACTTACCTGGGATCTCATTGATCTTTATTGGACTTAGTTTTGATGTCTAAGATGGCACTGTAAATTATCCAGTTTTCAGACAGTTGCTGAAGAATAAATCCGAAACTTGAAATTGCACTTTCTTTGTGCAGTACAGTCATTTTTCATGCAATGGGATGCTTGAAAGAGATTAGTGCCAGCTCTGTCTTAAGTAGCTTGTAGAGCCCAGCCTATTGCCCTAGAAGGTCTGACGCATGCTCATGTATTTTACTTAATGTGCCTTTAGAAGGGAAATATGTTAGTGTGCCAAGGCAAACAGAAATAATTTAACTGTGGACCCCAATTAAATAAACAAACTTGAATTACTATTTTTCTTGCCTTAGTGGCTTCTAGCATCAAGTGTAGGGATAGAGTAGCTTCCCAGACCCACTTTGTAGTAGAGCAGTAGCATAAGCAAGAATTAGAAATCTTTAAAAATAAAAAATAAAACAGGAAATACAAGAAAGCTGTTTCTGCTGATGCAGGGGAGAGATCCCCAGTGCCAGCCGGGCTTCTACATGGGAATCATTGTATCCTGACAATTCAGGACTTCTTATTGTGCAGTGTTCTCACTGTGGGAATCCCTCATCACTCCGCATGATGCTTGCTGTTCCTGGGAATGGAACTATCAATGTACAGTGCATTTACACTGTGGACTCATCCACTATGGAGCTGGACTTCTGATGCTACTGTAGGAACATGGGAATGTGCCACATTGCAGCGTGTTCTACAACATAATGATCACATGTAAAAGGTCCAAAGGAGATCTTTGCTGCTAGCTGTGACGGAAACTGCAGTGTCACCCTAAGGTTGCAATCAAATAGCAATCTCAAGACAGGGCCAGGACATGTTGCTCCAGGATACCAAACATACCCCAGCCCAAAGGTCAGCTGATGCTCAATAGGCTGGCCCCAAGATGATACCAAGTGTAGAAAGTTTCATCTATTGGGCAGTACAGAAAAGTATAAAGAAGCAAGTTAGGGTCTTCACCAATCATAGTTATCATCTCCTCAAAAGGAGGATGGAAGGAGAATTTCCATCATGCCAGGAATCAGTTATGCAAAGTTTCAATCTGACATGTTACTTTGCTAACTTCTGGAGGCTGTTTCACAAAGCTTTCCTGTAGATAAAAATATGTTTCCCACAGTAAGTAGGACATATTTGCATCAAGGAATAGAAGTTCAGTTTAATACATCTACATAGTACATTCAATGTTGCATTTAATGAATTTCCATCTAATATGTTGGAAAATCAATAGTGCATACGCAGAAATATTCCCTGGGTCATTCCTTTCATTGTATAATGTGCCACTAATTCCTTTTTGTCACTTATTGACTGCATTATTTGCCTATTATCTGGTAAACTAATCACTCTTCTTTTCCCATCTCTTATGCATGTTGGGGGTTCTGGTGACTGTACTTACAAGAAGAAAAATACAGGCACCTATCTATATGTTTCCATAAAACATTGCTTATCTGTCGCTTTGTTCCCCATACATTCAGTATTTTATGTGAAAATATTTCAATGGGACTCAAATGAAAAAGACACTAGTGTGTGCCTTTTGGGGTCATATTCCTTCTGCATTATACTTTTGGAAAAGAAGGTCCAACCTAGCTAGTCAGGACTAGTCAGGCTTGGAGGCAGAGCATTGCTGGGAGTCCTGCCTTCACAGGCAGAGCGTGGTTCAAGGTGGGCGACATGGACCAGGGCAGGCTTTGGGTCCAGCTCCAGCTTAAGAGAATGAAAACAAGGGCAAGGGACATTATGATGAATGGGCTGGAAACCAGACATTCGATCAGGTTATGCAAAGCACAGAATATTGCTACTCGGAACAATTGGCTGTTCAGACCACAGAAACACACCTACAGCAAATGCATCATAGAGTTCCTCAAGCCCCTGCTCATTCCTTGTGTCACCTGACCAGCTAACTTGATTTGCTGTGCTACTTTGTTTGGCCTTAATATGAATAGTGTTGCAGCACTTGAGAAATCAAGCCAATAATTCCTTCAGCCGGCAAGCCACTCTAGTGGCAAAGGGAGGCCATGGCAGGGAGCTTTTTATTTAGTTTTTATAAATAAAATGGCAGTTTTTACATTGTACCAAGTACTCACCACCTCCCAACCACCAGAGCCTTGAGTGCCATTCTAGACTCTCTGATTGATGTTGCCTCCTTTCTATGCATCATACCATAAATTGCAGCAACATTTTAATAAATTCAACAGGACAGATCTGCAGGAAGTTTGTTTTTGATCAGTATGGCCTTCTCTTGCACAAACACATGGAATTATCTAAGCAAGGGTGAACAACAGCCCACCGACAAAGGGAAACATGGGCTTTTCCAGGCTAGTTCCATGACGTGGGCATGTGTTTCCCCTTCCCTGTGATGTTAGGAAAGCTCCAAAGTGCTGACAGCCTTACTGATGACACTTTGTCCATCTGAATGTAAATCGAGCCGTGGCAGGGACCACAGGGAAGCAGGGTGGAAATAGAAGGGATGTTGTGCAGCTTGGTGCTGATGGCCTTTGCCAGGTTCAGTAATTTCCTGTCCATCTGCCAAAAATCACAAGCGATAAATGGACATAATGGGAGTGTGGGAAACACGACAGTCCAACAGTCCATCAGGGAGGAGGGGAGAGAAAGAAGAATCACGCGAGTAACAAAAACATTGTACTGTCAGTTCCACCAGTTAATGCCTAGATTATAGAGTGGGTTTACTCTTTTCTTTAAAAGACTGGGAGGGGTTTTGAATTTTCTCCCTCATCCTCAGAAGTGTTGCAATGCAGAAAAGGTTTGTGCATGCTATTGACCGTTGAAGATTTATCTGTTTTACAAATACAAGTAGCAAACAAGGGAAATCACCCATTTAGGCCCTGTCCTTCCTTCTTTCATCAAATTTCCCACTGCTGAAACATTGGGACCAAATGCAGCAGAGTCACTTTTTAAACATTCAAGTCAACACCCTGCAGGTTTGTATGTTATGCTTGCTCGCAAACCCTAGTGATTTTCTCTGCAGTGGGTCTGATATTCTATAGACTTCCTCTTGTTTGTCAAGTTTGCTTTCAGAGCCAACCCAAATGTTTTCAGAACGTAACTAATTACAGAGCTGGAATATGTGTGATGCATTACAATGAAGCCCATGGTTCTGCTGCATTCCTACTGGGGATGTACGCTGGTTCCTTTCAGTTAATCCTGTTCTTTTGCGCTTAGAACAGTTCTGAGCTATGACTTACTTGCACTTTATGCTTAGCATTATAGCCACGAGAAACTGCAAGCACTAATTCACGTGTCTTTAAATGTTGCTTTCAACCAAAAAGGATGTGGCAAGAGTTCAGCAAAATAATCTTTCACTACTTGTGTTTTCTTGTTTGCAGTAAATGAAATAATAAGGAACGACCTCTCCAGCACCAATGTTCATTCATAGCTGGCCATCTGGAAATCCAGTTAAGCTTAGCTGAGACATCGACTTCAGTTAAATAGAAGATAATCCTCGGTACCGCTCTGCTCTTCCACTTCGCTGAATGTCTGGAACAATTACCTCTTCACTGTCTTCTCCTTCTTCGTCTCTCTCCCTCTCCTCTCCCTCCCTCTCTCTCTCTGTCTGCACACACACACTGATTGGTTGGCTTCAACTAAGAAAACACCTCCTTTAAAAAAAGTCATCTCAAGGAAAATGGAGGAAATGAGCTATAAAATGATCTATTTCATGGGCTGAAATAGAAAACATGATACAACAGGTGACTGGTTCAAAAAGCTATTTTATTTTCCTTTGGGTTCTACTGGACCGCAACCCTGGAAGTGCCTTATTTTGCTAGATTGTGGCATCAGGACATTTTATTGGCAGCTGTGAATCTGCTGCCCTCCAAAGTATTTCTAGGCACAGAAACTATCAAGCCTATATTGGAATGATGTGTTAAAAGACTGTCTGCTGGGATGGGTAGAAAAAAGTCCTACTGGAAGTAAAATATGTGTCTGAATTCCAGAATTTCTTCAGCTTTCCCCCCGAACTGTATTTGACATCCTGTTGCCTTATTCCTGGTGCATTTTTTACAACCAAACTGTCATCTCAGCTTTATATACTTTTTCAGCCATCACAGAACTTTGGTCATGAATCTAGGAACTATTTATCATACAAGCATGTTAATATTTGACTTAAACCAGGCTTCAGACACAGTACAAGAAAATGGAACAGCACAAAATATTTATGGTTGATGGACAAAAACATTGACATCTGTCTTTTCCTCCAATGGTTTCTGTGTATGCATGCACATGCAAGCTAGCATATTTGCAAATATACCTAGTTGCCTTGTGAAGGCTTTGACCTTAGCAATAATTTCTGCTTCTGAGAATGCAGTCCAGATCCCAGTTCATGCCCTTGCCACTTCCGTGTTATGGGTTTCTTATGTTTAAGACAATTATGCATTTTCTTTCCTCATGCCAGTGGAGGCTGGTGGTGCCAAGGTTAGTCAGATAGGGTATCCACCCTGGTTTTTAGTCTGAATTTTAAAGGAGCAATTCATGGTGCCCCTGCTAAAGGAACTTCCAGCCTCCACTGCCTCATGCTGATAAGCAAGCACTTTAGACAGTCAAGAAGGATGCATATGAAATATGTATTGATTACCAAATGACAAAGGATGAGTTAAAGCAATTGTAAATACTGCTATCAAAGAATGTAAAATATTTGTTCAAGCCTAAGAATATTATTCCAATGAAGCCTTATAACTCTCTGCTATGTGTACAACAAATATTACCAAAACCAAATGTTTTAGATACACAGCAATGTATAGTATGCTTTCATGTCCATAGAGTCCTTATAGAACTTAAGCATCTAATGTAGTCTTGAGCTTTAGTCTTTGTATTTTGTACTGTTTGTAATATTATTACTATTTCGCTAGCAATGGCATATTATTTCACATAAACAAACCGACAAAAAGCATGGCTCCATCTTTAAAGCATTTAGCACTAATATTGTGCCTTAGGAAATACGTGTGAACTGTGCCACCGTTATTAAGGTGGCACGGCTAAGTGCAGTGTACAGTGAATACAAAATCAACAGGTTTCGCACGAAAGTGAAACAGTCTGAAGCATTTAGAAATATTAGTCTGTACAATTATGTCTTACTTCCTTTTTAAAAAGAGAGAGCGAGAGAGAGGGGGGAAAGAAAAAGAAAAGCCATATTTGTAACATTTGCACATGACTGTGAAAACTAAGAATATAATATGGCTGTATGTAAATATTATGTTACTGGCCCTCCAAACTGGCCATTTCCCCAACTGTTTAGCAACAGATATTTACCCTGTACTTAGCTATGTAGAAGTTGCATGCATTTCTTCTAAATTGCCATATTATATATATTAAAATAAAATGGACAAGTTTCAGCTAAACTTGAAGCTAGAAAATAGATCTAAGAAAGCACAACTTCCCACAGAAAGCTACTTTTAGAGTGGTTCATTTTTCCTCCCACTCCTGGGATGGGGGAGTTTAATAAACTGATAAGCTTTATATGTGATATGTTAAATAACTATATTCTGTATATTGCAGTCATTTCTGTTTCAGATAGCTTTTAGTCTGCTAATATAATCATTTTACAATCCACCAAAAACTGCTTCTGTATAATTTCCATTCATTGCAATGGGAACTTGTGCTGGAGCTGCACTCAGTGGATTTTACCTTATTTTTTAAAGTATCTTGCCAACAGAATTGCTCTTTTTATGTTTTCTACATTTAAAAGATGCAGTTGCCAAGAACGAAATGGAGATCCAGTGCAACTCTCAGATGTTCAATTCTCTTACTTTTCCTGAAATGTCAATATAGAGTGCAAATCAAGGAACCTCCGGGTATGCCAAAGGATTTTTGACTCAGATACAGAAATATCTTGGGTGAGGCTCTGACCACACAAGCACCACAATGTTTGCACTTCAGCAATAACTTTAGCAAGATAATCATATGTATTATTCCCAGTATGTCATGCCTCCTCCTTTGTCATTGTTTGTTTTTATTTTCCTCTTTTAAGCCATTTTGGAAATGTGTTACTTTAAGTCTAGCTCTAAAAGACTATGCATTGCTTGTATATGTATTCATGAATAAAAACTGGTATCAGAAATCCAGCTCTGATTAGTTTTTTTCATTCACTGTATAACTATTTGTTTGTAGAATGCAGTGGGTGTGAGATTGGGTGGACTCTGAGGGATGGTGGAGGGCAGGAGAGCCTAGAGGAATGTTGTCCATGGGATCGTGATGGGTTGGGTATGACTTTGCGACTAAACAACAGCAGGCTGAATAGCTCCACAGGCAGCAGAATGAAGTAGAAGTAAAATGGTAGAATTGTGAAGAAGTAGAGTGGATTCCATCCCAGATTGCAGGACCCAGAACAGTGAACTTAAACTAGAATACAGCAGGTGCAGGCTAGGCACAAGGAAGAATTTCCTGACTGTGAGAGCCGTAGGACAGTGGGTTCAGCTGCCAAGAGAGGTTGTGTGCTCTTCCACGCTAGAGTCTTTCAAGAAGCAATTGGACAGGTATCTCATTGGGATGGTCTAACTGGTGTCCTGCACTAGCAAGAGGTTGGACTCAATGGCCTTCTTGGCCCCTTCTGATCCATCTATTCTGTGATTCTGGATTCAGGGCTGGCAGCAGCCTCCACACAAATGTCCTTGCATCGTGCTGCCAACGGGCCCCTGCTGCCACCAAAGCCCCCCACCTGAAGAAGCCCCCACCACCCACCCATCATGGCCCACTCTAAGCCATCCACCTGCCTGTGAAGCCCACATCCTTTCAGCTCCTCCAAGCAGCCCATCCCGCAAAGCCCCAGCCTTCTGAAGCCCATAAGAGTCCACTCCCCACCAAAGCTCCCTCCTCCTTTCCCTCCCTCCACTCTGGTGGTCCTGCTTGCCTGGCATGGTGCTGGCCATTCTTCCGCCTCCTTCTCAATTGATTTGACCAGCCATGCTGGCAAAGTGCCATATCACCTACTCGGTCCACACGCACATACTTTTAAAAGAGAAGTGGGGAAACCTTCTATTTTGAGTAGCCACACTCCAAACTAAGCACTCCTTTTTCTGGGTTGGGGGCTATCAGGCAATGAGTTCACTCATGTGACACTAGGTCTGATGAGGCTGGACCACTGCCCGCAAAGGAAAATAATTTTGGAGCTCCCACAGAAAAGAAAGAAAGACTCCCCCAAGAAGAAAATGAGCAGGACATTCCAAATGACTTGATCTGGTTATTATTTTCCATGGGGGTGGTTATATGGAGAAGCATCCAAAAGTGGCACCTCCATGCCTGCAGTCTGAACTCATACAGCCCAATCTCCTACTTTCTTCTGTTGCCAACATAACGACTTTCATTGGGAAAAAAAGCCAATGTTTATCAACTTTGCAATATATGTACTCATGGCAACAAAGGCAGAGACTTCCTGCAGGAAAGTACGCTTGATTTTCATGCACACCCCCACCACCACTCCCCACAAAATGGAGATGACCTTGAAGGGTGAAGTTCTTGAGAAATACAGACCTTGGGGACATTCACACTATAAACAAGCTGTGTGACTCATCCTGCTGGCATGGCTGGCTGAATGAACCAGAAATCGTTTGTTTAGCACATCATTAAAACCTGGGAACCTGGCTTTTATCCCCAAAGAAGCCAAGATTCATAAGTTGAAACAAAACTTACTATATAATGCTGGCTTGTCAAGGAGGCTACAAGCCAAGTTTCCAGGTTCAGAAGGTGCTATAATCATAGCCCTAACCCTGCCTTCAGTTTCCACCTTCCAGATAGACCATCACAGGGAAGTCATTTGTCCCCCTGCATGAATGCCTGGTAAATCTGTCCAATCTCATCTATATTTTCCCCCAGCTCCTATTTCCGGGGTTATTTTCTTCAGAGGAATTCAAGTGAAGGCATTAACACTCCTGCCACCACATACTGGGCTGCCCACTAGCCACATTGGCAAGAAATGCGTGTTGAATCTACCTGTGAGCAGACAGGCCAGCCACACCCCTGATGGGGCAGGTGCCAGCTCTCTGGGGTCCATAAATACCATGTGCATGATTGCAGGGCATGTACAATGTGGGAACACAGCCAGATCTTGCAGATCATCCTGTGCTCATGCAGCGCATGAGCATTTCTTATACAAGGAGCTTTCAGGCAGAGTGGATTAACTTCACTGCCTCTCTATAACTAGCAGGACTTTAGCCATGAAGTAAATATTCTGGCACAGTTCTGTCCAATTGTTTTGTGAGAAATGAACCTGCTACCACTCTTCAGTGCTTTTAGTCAATGAGTGAAGTCACAACTATGTTTGACATTTAGCTAACAAGCTACAGAGATAAGCATAGTGACCAAAGGAATTTCTGGTTGATTCTGAACCCATTTTTTTTTCTTTTTTGTTTACCCTTCTGGGATGGTGATTGGTACCCAAAGAAAACTGAGGAATCTAGAATTTTAATGTAGCTGTGATTAAGGAGTAGCTTGTCCAGCCCAAAACAGCAGAAACAATCGCTTTCCTCAAGTTCCAGTCTAATTTCATGTGAACACACACATTTTTTTTTCCTGTGTTCCTAAACCACACCCTGCCAATGCTCTGCCATTATCACCAGATTGGCTGGGTTCACTTGTCACAGGAAACAACCTGTACTGTTTCCATTGTGCATGGAGTTTTGCACACACTTGCCAGTCAATCATGTGGGCAATCTAGTTTCTGTGCTCTGTTCTCCTGCTTTTGCCTTGCATCCTGGCAGCCCTCTGAGAGACATCTCCTTCCTTACTCTCTTGCTCCCTGTGGACCTCAGTCACCTCATTCTGAGCGGTCCACTGAACTTTAGAGGTGGGTCCTTCCTCTTCCCCCTCCCAACTGCATCTGCACCTCTGCAGCACATCCTAGTCACTCCAGAAGTTAAGGTAGTTGTATTAAATCATTACAAACACTTTTGACACGATGGCCTCCTTTCCCCCTCATGCATTTACCTGCTTTCGCACTGCTTCTAGAAGCAAGCAAGAAGACAGGCACATCATTCAGACAATAGGATTAAAGAAGGGGATGGGTATGCAGCTAGGGTGATGAGGGAAGTAGAGAATGGAAGGCCGAGCAGCCAGTTCCATGGCAATTCTTTCCATGGAATGCTATGGTGTTTCCGTATCAACAACAGTAAAGTGGGGAGCTTGAGTCCAGACAACCAAAGAAGCCATGGTGAAGCACGGAAGACTTGGAGCAGGCCATTGATCTCTCTGTGGTTCCAGGAAACTAAATGTATCACATAGGAATGCCACCACTGGGTCCAGATGATACAACAAAACCAAAAGAGTAAGAAATTGCTGCAGCTTCTCATGACATGCAAACTCAGCTGGTAAGTGTGGGATAGAAGGAGTCCTACTGTTGCTGGGTATGGTTACATCAAGCCTGCAAAGTGGGCCATTGTTGTTATGCTCATGCTGGTGGGAGGGAAAGCAGTGACTTTGCTGCAGTGTTGCTAGGTAGCTTGCTGATAGACTAGAGACATTCAGTCTGTGAGAGAGGCTGCAAAGTTAGGGACTAGAAGAATGCTTACACAAAATTGAGAAACAGTGCAATTCTCTAAATATCTAGTCAGAGAAGTAAATTCTGTTGTACTAAATAGGCTTCTGTATGCCTTATCCTTTACACTCAGCATAAGACATACCCTCTTATGGGACTAAGGCTATTTTAGTTCTGAAACTTGCTTCTGTTAGTAAACATACAGAGACCGGGTGCCTTCATTTCCTCTGAGCTCTACTCCACTGCTTCCACTAATCTTTCCCAATAACAGCCCTTCTAAGGTATCCTTGGGTACTTTAAAGGGGCTGTCGGTGACTCAAAATGGGATAATGAAAGCCGGCTTTCATGATCTACAGGGGAAATAAAAAATAAAAAGGCACATGGCAAAACTGCAGCTGCAGCAGATCAAAACCAGTTATGATTGTGACAGGAGACACCTAACTGGTGCCGACTGATCCAAGGTGCCACATCAGCATTTCTGGTTGGCTGGCACTGGCAGGTACCTGCGGGAACTTGGCAAGAGCAGCAAGAGTTTCCGCTGCTCTTCCAAGCAGTTTGCTTGCTGATTCCTAGTGCCCACACATGATGGGTTGTATATGTGAGCCCAGTCTCAAATGTGACTTTTGTTCAGCGGTGTGCTCCCTAAGCCATACCCTCTAGGGAAGCTATTTCTTTAGGAAATTTCTCATTGGAAACCTACAACCATAACAGAAAAGTAAACGACCATGATGATGGTGGTGAAGGCAGAAATGATAAAGCCTTAAGGTGCTCTCTAAGGTTAAGGTTGCTTTCATATGAATAGCTCTTAGTGCTTCCAATCAAAAAACCATTGTGCAGCTATTTTCTTTCTCTCCTTAACTGTTTTTATGGTAAGAAAGAGATGGAAGAAGGATTAAGAAAACATGGAAGAGTTAGAAATAAAACACATTGTCTGCTTCGTTGGATTGCAACTTAATTCAAATGGTATTATGTTTGTTTTAAAGGGCATACGTTTTAGTAATTTATTGTTTTTATTTATCATTATATATTTTAATACAAATTAATACTTACGTTTTAACCTCAAAGAGACAGTGAGCCATGGCATGGTAGACAGAGTGTTGGACTGGGGACCTGGGAGATCCAGAATCTAGCCCCTACTCACCCATGAAGCTCACCGGGTGATGTTGGGCCAGTCATGGTCTTTCGGCCTACCCTCTGTCACAGGGTCGTTATTGGGAAGATACGTAAAATGCTGCCTTGCTTTCCTTACAAGAGGAAAAAAGGTAGGATATAAATGCAATGTAATATTAATGTAACAGTAACAGTGAAGGTGGTTGAATGAGCGGTGGGTGCATATATATAAACATCATATGAACTGATTACATTCTTTTTTTCTTCACAGAGTCTTAATATGCAAGGTATTATAAAAAGTTTTAAATGAAATTCTAAAAATGTCATTGCAAAAAAATTTGCTGTAGAATTTATAAGAATGTGGAGTACGTTCCTGTTTTCAGTTGTTTCTACATATTTTGGAGCAACATAAATTAGCAGAATGTTTGAGGAGAGGGAGCAATAAGTCCAAGAAGTTACCAGCATGGTGAACAAACCGTGTCAAGG